AATTAGTAAATGATCTGTGCAGTCGTTGCCTTGGATTGTGTGGAATAAAGTGACAAAAAAGACATTAAAATTTAAGGTGTGTTATCAGTTGTTAGTTCGGTTAATTCAAATTTCTTCTCTCTTAACATAACAATAAATAAATATTCAAGTAATTATAAATAAAGGTGAAGTTGTAAAAATACAACTGGGTACTAGAAAAAAATAAATAACATCGGTTGATCAAAAGAGCGACACACACCTGAAACGTTCATCAGTGTTTTACAATATTTTAAATTGGTTATGTTTTCACTTATTGCGTAAAAAATAATCATTGTGATTAATAAATTCCACTATAAAACTTAATTAAAAGTGGAAATAAACAAAGTGACTTCGAGACTATAAATAATAAATTAAAATTAAATATAATTTGCAGTGTTTTTTTTCTAAATGACGATATGGTGAACGTATCGATTGTTGACGTTCAGAACTACCGTTTGAACAAAAACTCCAAGTAAACGATAACACAAAAGAGATCGCGTACAACAAAGTGAATAATTGTCGAAATATAACAATACGAAAATACAGAAAATTATGAAGCAGTGTAAATGGAATGTTTAGAGAATACAACAGGATACGTGGTGTTTCAGGGGGTGCGCTTGAAGCGACAGGACGGCGAACTCTGCTAATACGGCTGGGTACGCGGCGAACAACATAAGTTACGCGGGAGCACACGCTCCCGACACGGGCAAGCACAACCCCCTGCAAGGGACCATAGGATACAGAGTCAACGCGCATAAGTGAGTAACATGTCAAACTTTAAATTTTTCGCTTATTCATTTTTTATTTATTTCTTACAGTAAGATGTTTTTGTAAGAATTTAGTAAATTTTTGAAGACAAAATTTTATATCAAATCAATTGATACAATTAAAATTGTCTAGTATATTATATTTCGTGCGAAAATACCTATTTGTTAACGAATCGTCACACCTATTAAGGCACTTACTGTTTTTATCTTATCCGGAACAAGTTTGTTTACATTTCAACAAAACGCTGAAACGTGCCTCGCTTACCTCTACCCACCTTATCGTAGTTAACGGGCAATAAAATCAAATATCCTCTGAGTAAAACTTTATTTGCTACCGCATAACATTGCCATTTGCATTATTCTCGAGAAAAAATCTGAGCTAACGCATTCACATAAATCAATCTGTACATAAATCCCTCATAATCATATGGCAACTGTAAAGTACACGAGCGAGTGACATTGCCGGCCGCGCGCATCACTGCAATTATAATGAAAGAAATGAAATGTGTTCCTCCATTCACACGCACAAACGCTTTCGGCGCCCATCACGCACACAGATGTCCCCGCACTCACACACACATACATTCTACGCACACCAGCGCAGCGCACTCACACTAACGTACGATGGGAATGCAAGCGGTGACTGCACTTTAGCTCTTACAATAAACACAAACAAACAAATTATTAACACTCAGCGCATCAAATAGTTAAAGGCTCATTAAATTTAACCATAATTTCAATATCAGTTTCATTTTTAATGTTAAAGTAATTACGATAACTTTAAAACTATCACCGGTTATCGCCTATAATTGTTATTACATTATACTAAAAAAATAAGCAGGTGCTAAGTCGCGGCGCTCGGCTTTGTTTCGTAGTCACCTTTACGAGCGACATATTGTTGATGGCAGCGCGCCTTTTATTCAAAACCAATAACTAAATAATAATAAACGGGGAGTGGAAGCGGGATTGTGTGAACGGTGCACAGGAAGTCCTCTACTCCACACTTCAAGGGTAGCGCGCTCTGCAATTAATACAAACAGCCAACTAAATATACGTCGTTAAATAACATCGATGAGCGTTTGTTTTACCTCGGTACGTCTAGAGATAAGGATACACGTCACGAGTAAAGAATGTTATAATAAAAGATTTGTAGCAGCTTGTAAGTGGTCGTGGGAAAATATGTCGGTTTTCAACGGGCACTGCGGCCGGGGGCGGATGCACCGACACTATTATACCACGTGCTCAATAGACTTGAACGAATTTACTTAAAGTACGATCTAACACTACAGTTTGCATAAACACGTGCAATTAGTCTTAAATTACTATATCTAGGTGTGATAAATTTACGCAGTCTAGAAGTTTTGTCTGATACGGAAACAAATTATTATCAGAAGCGTAATAAAGCTTCATATTGACGCGACCCGGCCCACTTACCCCAAGTTTGCGAGGCTCGCCGACCCTTCCCGATTGTGTCGCATACACCCCAAAGCGCTCGCCTCCATACCAAACCCCCGGAATTCGCTCCTTGAAGCATGATTCATTCTAACCTCGAATCTCAATTGACGAGATAAAAGTTACAAAACTAAAACAATCAACAATCAAAAAAACTGTAATAATTCCTTTATTATTTCTACAGTTTCTAAACTCTTTAAAATCTACTAAACCTAACTTTTTATTTAACTTTATTTATGTTCCGTCCTATTATACTAATGATTTTATTAATGTGACATATTTCAATGTCAATTTGCAATATTTTGCAAGATAAGATAAGATTGTTGTGTTAACTTTACAAGTTACAATCAAATATTCATAAGCTTGATGCGATCGTGGATAATGTTCTAAAATTTTTGGTAATTATGCAGTTTTCAAGCGAATAATGTTACTGTCAACCTGTAATAATTAAATAAAAATGTTTGTATATGTGTAAACAATAGTTCAGTAGTCAGCAATCAAATAATAAAATACTAAAATAATTTGTGTTTCGAACACCGATACTTTTCACTTTAATCATGTTCCAATAATATCGATCGTTGTCATATGTGCGTTTATATCGTATATCGTATACAAATGTGAACACAGGCCACAATGTGAAGTGGCTTTTAAATAGGGGTGACCAACTGTCGACGAAACACAGGGGCGGTACACGTCACGGCTTCACGCTACCCGATAGTAATCTATACACAGCTTACAATTAATGCCTTATTTAACACTGTTTTATTTAAACAAAATAATCAATATCAATATCTGTTCACGCTAATTACCTTATTATTTACTTATTGACTTCTATATGTTGTTTTAAATACTCGATAATTTATGTACAAGTTTAAAAATCGGTACGTTTCTTAGCGGCCAGCATTCCTCCGCGCGTGGCACATCGTATTACGCTGCGAATCGATACTCCGAAACTCGTTTGTTAATACCATCGCCGCTCAATAAGGGTTGTAATTTGACAGTGAAAAACTTAACCCGCGCCTGATATTCGCCAATTAGTAGCGCTTTTAATTTGTTTCTTTTTAAAAGAGCATTCGATAACAACGTATCTTCGCCGCCAATTAGCCAACAACTCGCCGCGCCTGCGCACCTATCTAAAATTAACTACAGCCTATGTATCAAAATTCCTACGCGTTTCTCTCGTCTATCTTTCAATAGTATGCCGAACACCTTCCAGCTTCTCGAAATAGCGACGTACTCATTCATATTAATTTATTTAGCCGTCTCGCATGTCGATAAACGTGCTTTGTTTGATCTTTGTTTGATCATAGCTAAGAACCGGTAATATTTGATTTTTATATCGTTTAGTAAATTATCTACAAAAACAATGATTTAAAATCTTAAGTAATCATTACTTTAGTAGTATCGCCTATATGTTTAATATAAGGTTCAAGAGGCATTTGCGCCGAAATAAAGTTTGTTAAAAGGAACATTCCGAGAACTGTCTCAAACGAACGAGCCGCGTTGCATTCAAGAACCCAAAATATTTTGAGCGAGCCGTAAGTGATTATTCGGATGTGGTACCACTTTTACAAAAAGTGCACCAGGATGCAGAATATAAGGTTTTTTTGCTCGGCTACACATTTTGGTCGGCAAAGGAAAAAAGGCTCAGACAAAACTATAAAAAGAAGCGCAGGTCGGACGAAGTTTACCTAAGGAAGGACCCTTGTAAATCATCTGCGCCGGAGATGAATACGAGGCGTCTTGAACGCTGTTGACTTGCGTGTTTATTGGTTTTCAACTCAACTAAGTATCTGTTAAGCTATTTATGACGATACTTAAGTGTGAATAGTCAAATGCTTAACAAACTATTCATCTATTATTGAGACAAATCGATTTTGATACATGTACTAATTAAGAAAGCAAGTAAATATTTACAACAGTTCTATCAGTCCGATATGCCAAATCATTGCGTTTATCAGTGTTATTTATTAGTGGTTAATGTTGACTTAAATGTCATATTGTTTTATGGCGACGCTTTCAAATTTGAAAATATTAACATCCTTTCATCAAAATTATACTCGTAAACTTACAAACCCAATATGGTTACAATAGTAGAGACGCGTACAACAATAGGTAGCCCGTGCGAGTGTTTGTCGGGCATTTGTCGAATGGGAATTATTAGGAAGGGCTCCGGGAAGGCTCGGGAATTGGCCCCAAAAGCAGTTCACATGAATCGCTCTCCCACTCCGGGTGCTATACAAAAAAAAGAAACACATCCCGAGAGAAACACAGGGGTAACAGCGCGTCACTACGTACGTCCATATTGATTTTTTACAACTCTCATTGTTCGTCAAAATAATAAAAATCCGTGTGCACGTATTAAAAAAAGATCTTGCGTCAATAGAATTTGGGTTGAATATTGAGTTCGTGTTTATTAATATTCGAAGCGTTAACGTGTGGAATGTAAAATGTTCGACTCGGCAAGGCCACTTGCAATAGAATAGAAACTGCTCGTATCGCGAATCAAATAAAATTGCCGGACTGATTTCACATTTTAATACCTAACGATACTAAAAATACAGTTGTGTAGGTAAACCACTCGATAATGTGTAGCTTACTCGAGGTACCGTTATACCTAGTTAACGCTTTGCTTAGCGCTACGTACAATCTAGGATGCATTATATACACACACTAATAACCTGATAACCTAAGACTGTTAATACTATATTTAATACCCATTAAGAAACAACACTAAAATTGAATGTGCTTTATACTACGAAATCACCTTTTTCTACTTTAAAAATTGAGAAATTTCATCCCTCATAAATAAATTGCTCATAATACCTTTTAAAGTAAACAAATAAATATCGAGTATCGACTAATAAAAATTGGTATCCCAAATTAAATATGTGCAACCGAAATTTGTCATATTCGATTTGATTCTTCACTATAGATGCTGCTATTAGACACTATGCTAGTATCTGTTTCATTAGACAGTTTATTTATGAAGTGATGAGAAGTATAACTTAGGAACTTACTAGGTGATCATTGATTAATGTGTTGCGTTTGTTCTGTCAGCGGGTATGGGTGGCTCGGCGGGGCG